ATCTGCTCTCCATGTTTGTGCCGTCTTGCAAGCCGGGCGAGTCCCACACCGTCACGCTAATGGAGCGGTACTCACTCACCCAGGCTTTTACTTCGGATGTTTCTGGGTCAAGACTGTCGCCTTCTTTGGCCATTTGTTCCCCTACAAGACCGTTGACAAGGGTTGATTTCCCGACCCCGGTCCTCCCCGTTATGAATATCTTGACTTCATTGCTGTTTTGATACCATTCTGTTAAGTCTTGGCGGATGCGTTCGTCGAGGACTTGCTGTGCAAGCCTAACGTAGAGGTCTGATTGCACGCTTTCAACCATCGGCTTTGGCTAGGACGGTCGGAGAATAGCTGTGGTGGTTATTCGCAAATGCTAAACTGTATCAATCCGCTGTGTGCGTGACTGACTGCGCGCGTATAATTTATAGCGAAGTCACTAGCGGAATTTCGGCTATAATTACCGGATGCAGCTTGAGCGGGTGAATATAAAGCCTTTCTCGTTTACAGTCACGTACAAATCTTGGCTGCCTGTTCTGAGCGAGTATATGCTGACCCAACGACTGGATAAACAACGATGAACAACAAGAAGCAGATTGAAGTACTCATAACGGGAACGACCGGAGTAGGAAAGTCTACGCTGATAAACGGTCTCGCCGGGAAACATGTTGCAGAGACTGAAAACGATTTATTACCTGTCGAGTCAAAGGAAGTAAGTAGCTACACAGTGAACGTGTCGGATGTGACGGCGGAAAAAAGTGAGGGAGGGATCGACGCTGTATTGTGGGACTCGCCAGATCTTCAGGGAAGCTCGGAAAGCGGGTATACTGAGCTCAAAGAAAAGTTCGATAAAATCATCTACTGCATCGACAGTTCAGCTACTCGCTCGAGTGGACTAACCGCTGCAGATGTCGCGGAAAACGATCTTAGCGCCATAAACAAACTTACTTTGACTTTTGGCTCTGACTGGTGGAAGCGCTCCATTTTCGTCATGACACGTGCGAACGTGTTGGAATCGGCGCTAAAAGTTAAACCAGATCTCGAGAAGAGGTTCGACAATAAGCTAAGGGAATGGCGGGAGAGAATTGTTGCTACTTTGATCGCAACCGGCGTGCCGGAGAAAGTAGCTTGCGAAATTCCAGTAGAGCCAGCCGGACATCCGAAGAAACCTCGCCTACCAGGTCGAGATGACTGGGCCAGAGCACTCTGGAGAACCATCGTGACATCAGCAGCGCTGCCGTCAGCAACGGAGCAAATTACCCCGGCGCATGAAGAGCAGGATTGTATTTACGCAAGCCACGAATCGGAAGTTCACGGAACAATTAATCCACAAGACCAACTATCAAGATCGGAAGAGTGTCGTCCAACACCTGATCAAGAACCTCTAAGCAATCCTACCTCTGCTTCAGTTGCGCCTCTCAACCCGACATCCGATTCAGTTGCGCCTCTCAACCCGACATCCGATTCAGTAGCGCCGATCGCCTCCGCATCGATAGTAGAAGCGCCACTTATCCCGCCTAATGGCCACGTAGGAATTCACGGTGGGGTAATAGCGTCGATAGTCCCGCAAGTGCACAAAGAAATACCCGATGCAGTCAACTCACAAGCCGGTAAAGCGAATCAAGGAACGCCCGGTTCAATCAACTCGGACGAAGAAAGGTCCGATTCGGAAGAGCCGATCAACCCACAAGGGACTCAAGCAAACTACGAAGATGGTCAGAAAGCTGTCGATTCGGTGGGGTCACAAGGGCGTGACGAAGTATTAGCGTCGATCAACCGGGCAGCCGACTCGGAAGCACCGATAAGCGGTAATGGGCGAATGGAGATCCTCGTAACAGGGACGTCTGGAGTAGGAAAGTCTACGCTCATAAACGGTCTCGCCGGGAAACGTGTAGCGGAGACTGAAAACCATTTACTACCCGTCGAGTCGAAGGACGTATCTGGTTACGCTGTAAACGTGAAGGATGCGACCACAGGAGAAAGTGAGGGCGGGATTGAGGCCGTACTATGGGATTCTCCTGGTCTTGAGGGCAGTTCAGAAATTACGGAGATCAAGGAAAAGTGCGTCAACGTCGATAAAATCATCTACTGCATCGACATGTCAGCCACTCGTTCCAGCGGATTGACTGATGCAGAGATAGAGGAAAACGATCTCAGCGTAATAAAGAAGCTGACTGCGACTTTTGGATCTGACTTGTGGAAGCGCTCCATTTTCGTCATGACACGTGCGAACGTGTTGGAATCGGCGCTAAAAGTAAAAACCTGATCCCGGGAGGAGGTTCGACGATAAGCTAAGGGAATGGCGGGAGAGAATTGTTGCCACTTTGGTCGCTAGCGGCGTGCCGGAGGAAGTAGCTTGTGAAATTCCAGTAGAGCCAGCCGGACATCCGAAGAAGCCTCGCCTACCTGGTCGAGACGACTGGCTCAGAGCACTCTGGAGAACCATCGTGACATCTGCAGCTCTGCCGTCAGCAACGGAGCTACCGCGTGACGAGCAAGATTTCCCTCCGCAAGGGCCTGAATCAGCATGCGAAGAAGATCACGGGACTTCGGATGCACAGTTTGACGAAAAGAATCGCGGAAAGCCCGAATCTGAAACGCCGGCGTACGATTTAGCACATCTGACCAATCCGCAAGTCAGCTTATCAACTAGAGAAGAAGAGCAGGGAACCCTGTTAGCGGAGCAGGGTCGTGAGGCAAGAAATATTTCGACCGGAGTTACGACAAAGGCGAGAGCCGGGCCTGGGACCACAGCTGGCGTAGAAAGAGGTCCTATAAGAACAGAATTGGAAGAAGGTGTTTCATGGAGAGCAGTACATTTTCCTGGTACTGTCGTCTACTTGAAAGTGCTGAAGAAGGTTCAAAGAGATGCAGTGGCGCCGACATACCCCGCATCCGGTTCAGTTTCGCCGATCAACCCGCAAGCCCGCGTATCAACTCGCGAGGAGGGTCAAGGAAAGTTATCGCCGATCAACTCACAAGATCATGAATCGACATGCGAAGATGAAAGAAATCGTTCGCCTGCTACCGCGACAGCTGGGCTTAGGGCAACAGAATTTCCTGCGGGTGCTTCAGCGGATAGTGTTTCATGGAGAGCAGTAGATACAGTCGTTTATATGAAGGTTTATCCCAAAGAGTTTCAAAGAGAGACACAAGTGTAACTAATCGCTAAACACTATTTGTTGTTATTGTGCGATGTTTCAGAGAGTTTTAGCAAAATTTTCAGTTTCCTGGGGCTCGTTCGTCTGGAGCGACCGCGCTGCGCATGCCGCCCATAGACAGTGAATTTCAGAGTAATGAAGGATGCATGAAGAACTGAAGTAATTATACATATTTGTTCCTTATATACCTGTGGATTTTTCCGTGTTTATGGCTAAGCCCAACATTTCGCGCCATAATACACGGCGTGCCATACGCCCGCCCTATAGGCATGCGCACGCACTCTCTCCATTGCGTTTGCTAGGCGTTGCGTTGCATTGGTATGAGTATGTTACGGATTTCTTTCTTCATTTGCTCTCTTCCACTGAATAAGGAAGTAAATCCTTGTAGTATAGTATGCTTGTGCTACAATAATATACACTGCAAGAATGGAGGAAACACGTCCAGACAACACAAACAGCACCAGCAATGGAATTGAGATGGTATATATGGTATAATACGTCAACAGATGGCTCGATTCCTCAGCTAAGAGGAATTCATTGCAATTTTCTATTAGGAGCAGGCGATCTGTTTCGGGGAATTGTTTAGTAGCTGGCTTTATGTATTACCTAATTATTAATATAAAGTGTGTTGGACTTTCCTTCATGCTGAGTCTACAAATCTCAGCTTGCTCCTTTCCACTGAAGAAGGAACCATATATCTTGGTTATACCATTCATGTGTGTTGCTGTTATCTGTATTACATTACTTGAGTTGTCTGGACTTCTTTCCTCCATTCCTAAGAGGTATGGTATCCTATCAGATGACTGGTTCTCATCATTCCCTAGTGGAGAGGGATAAGTAAAGCTAAGGTTAGTATATACAGTCAAGAATGGAGGAAAGAATCCAGACAACCAAAACAAACTCAATATAATATAGCTACACACCACATCAATGCACAGGAACTAAGTATGCACAAGCTTCATTACAGAGAGACACACTCTCAATACAGAGCCCATTTTAAGTGCACAGGTATATGCACAAGCTTCATTAGAGACACCGCAACAGGGACTTTTTGCAGACACCTAAAATTGTACTTTATCCTTTGATCAGCTCAAAGAGGTACTTTTGATTAGCATGCTCAAGAGTGACAGCCCCAACACACACACACACACACACCTTACAGAGTGCTTCACTAATCACTCTTTCCCCTTTCTCTCTATGCCAATCCACCTCTCAACAAGTGTCAACGATTTTGCATTTTGTGTAGGTACACCGGTAGAAGAAGAGACAAGTCAATAATTAGTAATGATCTGACTATCGATTGAGTATGGAATAGCAATGGAATCTGTCTTCCTCCCTATCTAGCTTCTTTATTGTGTCACCCCCCACTCCCTCCACCCCCTGTTCCAAAGGGTAGCTATCGACAATTTTGCATATTTTGTGATCAGTGCAAGAAGAGACAAGCCAATAATATTAATGTATGTATGTAATTAAGTATGGAATAGTTATGTCATTTTCCTCTCTCCAACTATCTCTATCTAGCTTTACCAATCCCTTTTCACCTGTCTTTGTTCCCCACCCTCCAACCTCAAAAAACGGTGTCAGTGATTTTGCATTTTTCTAGGCACAGCGGTTATCCATTTTTGATGATAATGATGATTGTCAGATTATGAAATAATTATGTCTTACTGAACACTATGCATAATTTATAGCTTCACTAACCTTTCTTTCACCCCTACTTCGCTGTCTCTATGCAAATCCACCCCCCAACCTCTAATTATAGTTGCAACGACGATTTTGCATTTTGGTGAGTACATCAGTTGGAAGAAGAGAGAACCAACAACCCTTGATTTTGCGTAGATTGCGCATGCGCAAACGTTGCTAGCTCCGCCTCCCTATGGTGCGTTTCAATTAGAGTAACGACCGCACCATGAGTTCGAAGCTGGATTATCTCAAGAAGTACGTTTCAAAAGGCGAAATCCTTCCAGGAGAGACTGGAGACAAAAGCAAGAAGAAGAAGAAGAGAAAAAAGGTCAAGTTGGCCTCCGGCAACGGCGGCGGCGGCAACTTGCCATCGTGGACGATGACGTGGACTGGCGTTCCCTCGTTCCGCAGGACAGGCCTGCAGGCAGCGACGATGAGGACGACCCCGAGGACAAGCCAATCGTGGCTGAGGTAACACCTAGTGTTCCATGCAATCGATAATCTAGGTGCTCTTTTCTTGCGGATGAGTTGCTTACTCTAGCTGTACCGCTTAGCTATACTCCATATAACCTTCTCTGCCTCTCTCTGGCTGTGTGTGTGTATTAATATAGGTCCGTGATGAGACAGTAGTGAAATGGCAACCATTAGGAAACACCTCCTCACCTCAAAAAGAAGATCGGTCACCTAATTTATCCCCTTCAAGACCTAGCTCTACAGACGTCAGTCCTCCGCGAAGACAGAGACACGATTCACCAGACATCAGCCCTCCGCAAAGAAAGAGACACGATTCACCAGACATCAGTCCTCCGCGAAGAAAGAGACACGATTCACCAGACATCAGTCCTCCGCGAAGAAAGAGACACGATTCGCCAGACATCAGTCCTCCGCGAAGAAAGAGACACGATTCGCCAGACATCAGTCCTCCGCGAAGAAAGAGACACGATTCACCAGACATCAGTCCTCCACGAAGAAAGAGACACGATTCACCAGACATCAGTCCTCAGCGAAGAAAGAGACACGATTCACCAGACATCAGTCCTCCACGAAGAAAGAGACACGATTCACCAGACATCAGTCCTCCGCGAAGAAAGAGACACGTTTCACCAGACATCAGTCCTCCGCGAAGAAAGAGACACGATTCACCAGACATCAGTCCTCCGCGAAGACAGAGACATGATTAGATTCACTAGATACACAAAGAAGAAACAGAGCACATTCTAATTATGATCTGAGCCCACCACGTAAGGAATCGAAATCTCTCAACAAAAAAAAATCAGCAGACGTCAAAGGACATGAACATGACTCTTTAAGCTCCCCTCGCCAAAGTAAACTTGATGTTAGCCCTCATCCAAAAGTGAGACACAATTTGCCAGATATCAGTCCTCCTCGAAGAAAGAGGCACGATTCATCAAACATCAGTAAACCACAGCCCCAAATCTCCAGTAAAAAATCTGATAGAGACCTCAGCTCTCCACAAAGAAAGCCTTCGACATCGAAACACTCTCCACCACCTCGTGCGAAATCCTCTCCCCAGCCCACCAGTCGCCCAAAATCTCCCCCGAAAATGTCGAGCGGGAAGAAGGCTGGGCTCCAGGACGCGGAGGTCCTGAGGCAGGAGAACGCAGCGGCCCGAGAGAGAGAAGCGGAGATGTTTCGCAGGATGGATCCGTCGGAGTCTGGCCGCGGGGTGGAGACGGTGTACAGAGACAAGGAGGGGAAGAGGATCAACCTCAAACTGGAGAGACTCAAGAAGTTGCAGGAGGAGAAGAAGAAGATGGAGGAGGAAGAGAAGTTCATGGAGTGGGGAAAGGGGTGAGCTCCTTCGTTAGCGAGTCTATATGTAGCCTCGCTTCGGGGCTCCGCTCAGAAACAAGGGTTAAACCCTGGGATCTGCGTGTTAATACCCTTGTCGCCGCCTGAATACATACACTTTGTTTAAAGCAGGAGCCTAAAGGATATATATGTAATAGTAGTAGCACGCCACCACCCACAACCAAAAAACAACCCACACCCGGGATTATGCAATATAACTGATCGCATACACGTGGAAGGCACGCCAGTAGGCGCTACTGGTAGCTTGTACACTGGAGACCGCGCCGTAGTCTGGCAAGCGTCTGACAGCGTCGTATCGTCCCGTTGATTGAGCGAACGCCGCAGCGTCGTCTCAGGAGGACCAGACTTAACATAAGCTCTCCGAAAAAGAAAGGAAGCCTGGTGGATGGGCCCGCGTGCAGGTCACCGGGAGCCCTGCGCACCCTAGCCGCCCGCATCTAGTGGGAAGACTCTTGTCTTCTCCTGAAGCCCGCTTCGTACTAAGTCCAGAGAGAAATAGCTAAATAGCTGAAGATTTCAAAGTTTTCGTTCCAAGAAACACCGCAAAAACACCCAATGGGCGTAGGTGTCTTACCGGTGGGAAGACGCTCGGAAAACCCGCGGGAGGCTCGAACGACTCTGTCCGGTCGATTGGGAGCAAGGTGTAAAAGTAACAGGTAAGATCACTCATATGACCTGTTACTTGTCACACACCTGCAGTCATATTACCATGTCGACTTTTCACACCTGACCGTCATACTTACTGTTACTTTCACACCGCTTCAGGCTACATCCACGTAATACACTCAGCAATTTTCCATTGTTCGAGGCCTGGAGCCAGTTGTACAAAATATGAGATATTATATATATATTCGGTCATCGTTGAGTGATTGACGAGCTGGGTACCAGAGAAAGCTAGCTAGTTTTTGGCTCACCGTGTCAGAAGATTGATCATGGATTCCTTAATTTGAGACAAAGGTGTCGTTTCTGATTGACAAAGTCAAATGTTACGTGACTTGTGCATTGGGTGTCTTGTGATTGGTCTCACTGGGTTACGGCTATTACTGTTACTAATTACAGGGTAGCGACTGTCAAAATGGCAGAGGAGAAGATAAAGGACGAGTTGTACGAGATGTCGAAGCCCCTGGCCAGATATGCGGATGACGAGGACCTGGAGAGGATGCTCAAGGCCAGGGAGAGAGAGGGGGACCCCATGCTGAAGTACATCAAGAAGAAACCACAGCTGACTCCAACTGGAAAACCAAAGAAAGGTGCTCTTAACTATAATGCATACGTGTCCGTCTGTTTACAGTAGATGATTGCTCGATTGTGAGACATTGTTTTGAAAGTAAGGCAACTGAAAAGATGCCTTTACTGTTGTTTTTCTGCACTGAACAAACTCTTGAGATCCTGTGAATTAGTATATACACTACCGTATATATAGCAACAGTGGTATTATTTTTCTTACGAACCAGCAGTTTTTGACTTGAGATACTAGTATAAATTTGGTACACTATCGTATACTTATAGCAAAAATTTTTCTTACGAATCGGTAGTTTGAACACACAGATAGCTAACAATTTTCGTTCCCCCGCGCCCACAACACTGGAGGGTATTTATTGCAGAGCTTAGATGAATAGTTATACCTGTAAAATTTTGATGATATATAGCTACCATACATCAGTTTGTAGATACGACTTGGAAAACTCACAGTTTTAGCCTGCTGAAGTTTTTTAACAATTGTTTTCTCGCTCACGCATGCACTCTCTCTCCTTTTCTCTCCTTTTCTCTCCTCTCCCTCCTCTCTCCTCCCTCATGATTATTCCCTCTGCAGAGCGACCGACATACAAGGGCTCGTTTCCACCCAACAGGTTTGGAATCAGACCGGGGTTCCGCTGGGACGGAGTTGACAGAACCAACGGGTTTGAGAAGGCGTGGTTTGCCAGAGAGACCAACAAAAAGGCCACTGCCGACGACGCCTACAAGTGGAGTGTTGAGAACATGTAGCCCTTTCTCCCTTTCTGTTTTATGCATGATAATTTGAAACAGGATCCGTGTTATATTTGCGAGCGCACGCCCTCTGCTTGCGCATACTTTTTCTTCCATAAGGCATACTACATGTCCAGCACAAAAGAAACACACAAGAAAAAAGAACAAATTAACAAAAAAGCAGACAAAAACATAGGAACCCCCTTGCGCGTGAGCTATATTTCGCGCATGCGCTCCTCTTGGTCCACCCTCGGCGCGCGCGCAGGCGCAGCGAGGGTTACAGCCGTCTGTCAGTCAGCAGCTATTTTCGCACTATATACAGGGTTCGGAGCGATACCAACGTCTTCAGAACTACGCGAACATGTAAAGCAAAATGGCGATTTTCCTGAAACGACTGCGTTCCAGAGATATGCCGTGAAAAATGACAATATGCATAAATCGCACCAGCTACCTCGACCAATCCGTTTGCTCTCTGTACCTTGCGGAGGCACAAGAAGTAACCACGAAGCCGTGTATCGACTCCCGCATCGGCATGCTATCTTATAGACTCCGTGACCAACTTGCGTGGAGACGCATATACACATAGCAGGCCGCCCAGCCCAATTATCGGTACCGCGCATGCGTAATGCGCCGAGAGTTTGCACGATACTTAGTGTGTTTATAGCTGCAGCGCAATCTGCGCATACACATAACACCCTCAGACTGTATAACACTGCGTTGAATTCGAAGCTGCGGACTAGGGATGGAGAGCGAGCAAACCTGCCGTCTCTGCACGCGAGATGTGAGCGAGTCTGCAGCGGCCATCCACCTGTACAGCCCCGACAGCGTGGAGCGCGGGGTGGCCGACAGAATGGCGGATCTCCTGGAGGTGCCTCTCGAGAAGACGGATGGACTCGGCTCCTACATCTGCGAGCTCTGCAACGCGAGATTCAAACATCTCGTCCGCTCCCTGGAGGTTCACCGCCTGAACGCCAAGAAGAACTATGAGAAACAGGCCAAGAAGGCTGGGATTTACGTTGAGAGTAAGTTCCCTCGCCTATGCCGTCTATCTGCGTGCAAGGCTTCTGAAAGGAATCGCTGTAGGATATCCATTTGCCGAATTCGTACCTACTTGCATCGACTTACTGTAGATTGGCATGCATCAGCTTCATTGTTTTGATAGTTTTGATTGTTTGTTTCATCACTACTAGCATACTGAAGATAGTGAAGTGATTCCAGTTTGTTTATAGTTGTGGTTGAAAGTCATTGGTTTCTTGCAAGCCTAATTGATTCTGTTGTGCTTCACAGAGAGTAAATGAATCACTTGTGATTGCATAGTTGTGGTTCAAAAAGAAAGCTGTTAAAAGGATGTGCAACTCACCTGGATGGCTGATAGTAATTCAGAAAGAAGGGAGAGTTTTGTTCTTACCCTTTTCCTTTGGCCTTTGGTTATTATTCGCTCTGGTTTAAAAACTGGCAGCTATTGAGTTTTGTTTTAATGTGTCTCAACTACCGAGATGTAGCTAATGTGTGCCTATTGCTGCATAATTGTAGCTCTTGAAGATATGATCGAAGAGAGTCTCACCAAACCAGTAGTCGAAGATGCTAAGGACCCAAATAAGTAAGTTCCATCTAAAAAGCAGTACTGTTCATGCATACATAGTAAGTAGTTCATCCAATAGTCAAACAAAGTGCTCTGCATCCATTTGGTTGCATGCTGTGTGTAGCTTTGACTGTGTAGCTCGTAGATCAGTGCACCGTCTGAGTAAAACAATTTTGGTATCTGCAGAGACCCGTTGGTTCAGGCTGCCGATATGACTGGAATGGATCTGGGATCTCTTCTGAGTGACTTGGTGGCTGCCAAGAAGAGAATGAGGGAGAAAAAAGGTATCTGCGTGCAATACTCTCACTGTCTCTCCATGTTATCCGTATTTCTCTCCTTGTTATATAATTATAACAAATCCACACAAAAAATATAGGTGCGACTGATAAGAAGGTGGTGACAGAGGACATTAAGGATCTGATGAACCTGCTGTCCGGGATCAGGAAAAGAAGATGTGTTTGTTTTTGGCACTTTTCTCAGCATTCCTGAATCTCGACTCAAAGACATTGAGCAAAACTACTCAGATAACCATCAGAGATATCTTACTGAGGTCTCGTTTAATCCTTTTGTGTATTTATTAGCAATTCTACATCATAAAAGGGTCTCATTTTGTTATATTAGTTTTTTAAGCAAGCCATATACACATTTGTCTTGATTGCACCATTTTCGATAGTGCCACCTTTACCATAATGTCTTTCATTAATGCAGGCATAGAATTGAATCATTAGTTGTGCTGCACATGCATGAGTGTGAACTTTGCGTTCACTCGACAAAACTGTTTTATCCACTTTTGTTGCTTTGCTACGTATATACCTCATTCATGCAGGTGGTAATGGCGTGGATAAACGCCTGTCCAGAGAGCTCTACCTGGTCCACTCTAGTGGAGGCTCTCAATGAAGTGGGTCATAGGAAAACTGCACAAGAAGTGGCTGAAAGAAGAGGTATGGTGAATATAATAGAGTCACGGAATGTGTACGGGTTTTGACAACTCAAATATTAATATTATGTTGGGTATACAGGGATTGTACTGCCTGGTGTATGGGAGGACAGTCAGCTCTGGGGTGCTCTGAAAGCTCTCATCCCAATTAATGTGAGTTTGTCAAACACTAATGCTAGCTGCACACAGCCGTGTGCAATTGTGTGTGTGTGTGCATGTGTGTGTGTGTGTGTGTGTGTGTGTGTGTGTGCGCGTGCGTGCGCGCGTGCGTGCGTGCGTGCGTGCGTGCGTGCGTGCGTGTGCGTGCGTGCGTGCGTGCGTGCGCGTGTATGTGTGTGTGAGAGAGAATAATATAAGAACCTGGAACAAGGGACACTATGATGCCAACTATTTTGTCCCTTGTGGAGAGGTAGTCCCTATCTCTGTGGTCAAATTATAATTAAGTTTGTATTAGCATGGGAAACAAGTGTTCTTGTAGAGAGGTTGTCCCTATCTACAAGGGTGCCTTATCAGATGTCCCATTGTACTGCATCTGCTCCAATAGGAAGGAGGTGATCTGGTAACACTGCTGGAAGAGACGGAGAAACTAAGGGTTGACGTCAAAACCAAAGATGCTCTCCTTGTCGAGAGCGAGGATCGGCTGGAAGAGGTCAACTCTCAAAAGGATGAATTTGAAAAGCAGTACAACGATGCTATCCAAGAATTGGAGGAAAAGAAGCAGTTGCTGGAGGAAGAGAAGCAAAAGGCCCAGAAAACACTGCGAGAGAAAGAAGCAGAACTGAGAAAGTTGAGGGCCGAGCGAGCAACCAAGGAAGAGATTGAGACCAAAGAAATCGAGATCATGTATCTCAAGAAGAAAGTTCAGCAGCACCAGATCACGGAGAAGGAGCTCATGACAAAATTGTCGATCTCCAAGGGAAACTGGAGGCGACCGACATTGGGAAGCTGGACTGGATTGCCAGCAACCTGGAGAAACAACTAGAGGGAGTACGGCCGGAATTTGAGAGGGAGCGATCACATATGATGAACAATATCTACAAAATGTTGAAGCACATCAAGATCCCCGACGATTTACCGGTATGTTTTAATTTAGTAGGTTGCTGTGGTATATATTTTTTGTGTTCTTATTATTTAGGATAGTGATGAAGAAGATGGAAGGGATTCGGAAGATCCAACTACTGTCCCTGCTGAGAATGTAGAGAACGAAGGTGAGTAAAACCCTATAATACAATGCTCATAACAGTTTTAACACCAGAGCTGAGGGGAGAAGGTGATTCAGAGAAGTCGAAAACACCAGAGTAAGACTAACTGTGATTTGTTACCATTGATAAGTTCCGTGTAATCCTACAGACCAGAGCCGGCTGACCTGGAGTCTCTTCTCTCCACACTCAAGAGTCCAACTGAGGCCTCCAGTGCCATTTCAAGTAAAGGAAAATTCGTACCTGCTGATGAACTTTTACTCTTTGTACTATACTGTTATATACAGTGTTTGAGGACAAGGAGTTCATGGAAGAGGATTACCCACTGGCAGTGAGGCTGTTTGAGGACACACCTCCCTTCCTCCTGAGTCAGATCCTGGGTCTGAGGATGGAGGAGTGGCTGGCCATTGAGGCAGTCGACAAGAAGGACGATGAGAAACAGAGGGCCAGCGTCCTGCAGACCTGGGGCAGGAGCAGGGGAGATTCTGCCAAGTGGTCTATACTGGCGGAGGCTCTGATTATACTGGGATTGAGGGGCAAGGCCCAGATTGCATACATGGAAAAAGGTGAACTCTCTAGGTGCACCTATGGCTCATGCTGCCTCCCAGTTATCAGGATATTTAGTAGTAGTTTGTGGGTAGGGACCAATTTGTTTTAGGTGGACCAACTTTCTTTCACTGTGTACTTAGACCTGGGAGCTTGGACATACTTAGCAGCATGGTCAAGAACATGCTATGCAACCAGCAGCTAGGTCTTTGTTAGTTAGCCTTATCTTGTGGGAGAGAGTAACAGTGCTGCACTGTGTTTGCCCTTCTTCAGCCTATATAGTAGGAAAAAATCTAACAAATTGTTTCCCTTCCACTACTGTACAATAGGTGTCCCACTGCCTGATGCAGGTGAGGACTGGACCTCTCTGGTCATCACTAAAGAACACTCTACTGACTGGGGTAATAAACGATTAACAACACCATAAGCTACCCTTTTTATCAACACAAACGCCAACTATATATACTTGTACACCCACACTCCGATTGAGGTTTTGCCAGAGTAACAGGTGGTATCTCGTATTGATTTCTGTTACAGGACCAGGCAGTCCAAGAGATGCTTGTAGAGATGGAAGCTCACCTGGTGGAAGTAAAGAGGAAGGATGAGGAGATATGTGCCAGGGAGACAGTCCTGGAGCAGGCCAGGACCGAGGGAGAGCTCATTGGCACCAGTCTAAAGAGAGTCAAGCAAGACCTAGCAGAAAGGTGTTGCAGTGCAAGTCTCTGGAGTGAAGATCGGTAAAACTTCTCCCGGTACATCGTCTGGGGAAGACAGTCCCGAGGGAGGGGGTGAGGTGGAAGAGCTGAGGAGCCGGCACAGAGAGCACATGGAGGCAGTCCAGAGTCTCTGGAAGGAGCAGGAGGCCAAGAAGACAGAGTACGAGAGCCACGTGGCAAGGCTGGAGCCTCGGGAGCGGGAGATGAACCAGATGAGGTCCGAGTTTGCCACACAGAGGACCTGGCTGGTGGGCAGACTGGAGGAGATGTATGAGCTCTACACTGGCAGAGAGAAACCTGTGAGCTCAAATAACATTGTTCGATTGAAATTGACATCTTTCTTTTATCAGGTTGAGACGTTGATGGAAGAAGAAGGTGCAGAAGAAGATGGAGAGGAGATAGAACAACAAACAACACCAGAGTAAGAACTAGAAAACCATTTTCTACGCTGCATACGTAATCTCCGAATAATGCATTGACTTGGACCAAGCATTTCATCCTTATAGAGAGGTTGTCCTCTCCTTGGAGGTTGAAAATTTGGCAGAAAAGTGAACGTTTAGGTCCTCAAAGTGTGTCCTTAGGTTTTTTTTCTATAGTGTTGTCTACTCCAAGTGGCCTTTATCGGAGGTTCATTGATAGGTGTTACTTTACTTCCTTCAGACCTGAGCCAGCTGACCTGGAGTCTCTTCTCTCGGCTCTTACCACTCCCACTGCCAGTGCCATATCAAGTACTCTACAAACTCCTCTACTCAATTCTGTCATAACTGAGAGTGTTTCTTGTGCAGTGTTTGAGGACAAGGAGTTCATGGAGGAGGATTACCCACTGGCAGTGAGGCTGTTTGAGGACACACCTCCCTTCCTCCTGAGTCAGATCCTGGGTCTGAGGATGGAGGAGTGGCTGGCCATTGAGGCAGTCGACAAGAAGGACGATGAGAAACAGAGGGCCAGCGTCCTGCAGACCTGGGGCAGGAGCAGGGGAGACTCTGCCAAGTGGTCTGTACTGGTGGAGGCTCTGATTATACTGGGATTGAGGGGCAAGGCCCAGATTGCCTGCATAGAAAAAGGCATGCCTATTACTTAATGTTTGTAGCACATGAACACTTTTACACTACACAGTATGAATTTGGGATGAGTATAGACATAGAGCAATTTTTAGCCTCAAAGCAGCAATATTCACGATGTACATAGACATCTCCTGGAAACCTGATCGCATCAGATACCCAAGACAGTAAGTCAACACAGTACCTATGTATACCTCTCTCTGTGTATACAGGGGTTCCACTGCCTCATGTTAGTGAAGATGGTCCACTCTGGTCCTCGTGGTGAAAAAACTTCTGAGTGGGGTAGGTAGCTATTGTACGTTTCAATATATCTCATCTCTTTTCATGAGCAATCTTTAATACAAAAGTGTAACTGGCTGAAACTCTTCCTTTTTCCCACAAGGGAGCATATATTCTGTTGTACCTAAAGCCCTGTCAAGTTCTCTGTTACTCTGTAAATTACTGCTACAGAACCAAATGGTACAGCAGATGCTGACTGAGATGGAAGGTGTGAGAGTGGACCTAAAGATGAAGGATGATGAGATGTGTGCCAGGGAGACAGTCCTGGAGCAGGCCAGGACCGAGGGAGAGCTCACCTGTGCCAGTCTAAAGAGAGTCAAGCAAGACCTGACCAGGGAGATGACACAGTGCAAGACCTTGGAGGGAAGAATGGGTCAGATCTCTCCCGCAAATGAGTTATTCCCAGACGACAATTCCGAGGGAGGGGGTGAGGTGGAAGAGCTGAGGAGCCGGCACAGAGAGCACATGGAGGCAGTCCAGAGTCTCTGGAAGGAGCAGGAGGCCAAGAAGACAGAGTACGAGAGCCACGTGGCAAGGCTGGAGCCTCGGGAGCGGGAGATGAACCAGATGAGGTCCGAGTTTGCCGCACAGAGGAGCTGGCTGGTGGGCAGACTGGAGGAGATGTATGAGATCTTCACGGGAAGAGAGAAACCTGTAAGCCCATTGAAATTTAAATATCATCATGTATACACCACCATCAACCTTACCTATTTCAATTTTCAGGTCCCAAAAGGTGAAGGTGATACAAACCATCCATACATTTGAACTAAGGAAGACTCTTACCCTTTTGTAGCACTCCATGTGCATGTATTACGGTCTTACCCGGTGTATACTGTAGCTAATCCAGAGCGGCCCCCACCACCGAAACCGAAGCCAAGGGCGACCCCAGCCCCCCCTCCCCCTCCCCCCGTCACTCCTGGAGGCTACAGAGCTGCCACTGACCAACTGGTCCCAACTAATGACCCCGTACTCCCCACTGGATACACCATTATGGTAGGAATCATGAGTGCATCATAAAACGTAGGTATGCGAGAAGGTTGACGATTGCTCATTGTTTCAAACTGTGACTGAGTAAGCCAAGGATATAAATGTGTATACCTAGGCACAATGTGGAGTACTTTGTTGCAGTAGATAGCTCCTTAAAATTAAAGTTATTCGGGTGTGGTCACACAGAGGTTGAAGTTTACTCTGAAAAATGAAGTAGGGGTGAATATAATATCATATCATAGTAATGCTCAGATTCCGCTGTTGTTTTTGTGGTCATGTCTCCCACAGGACCTGTTTCATCCCAGTAACACCTTCAGCCTCCTCCCTGGCATCGACCAGTCGGCAGACCTCTCACAGTGCAAGGCAACCTGCTCACCGGGATTTCAATCAAGGGAAGGGGCTCCCTCAATCAAGAATGTAAGCAAACTCAATCGCATAATTACAGGGGTCTCAAACGGATTAATTTTATGCGTATAGTTTGCTCCTTCTTGAGTTTTCCCCCATTATTCCCCTTGTATTAATAATTCACTGCAACATCCTTGCCTAATGGTCAATGATAAGGTTCAATGGCTGTACTTACTTGCCTTTCACAAACAAAATTCCTGAAATATTTATACTTATATACACACATTTCTTCGTAAATTCTGTTTTATAATTATTATTCCCGTTCTATATATTAATAGTCCAGTGGCTCTACATACTGTACTTACTTTGCCTTTCACAAACAAAATTCCTGAAAGAGTTATACTTACACACTTCTCATAGTTCGCTTTATACATTATTTCTTTGATGCATTACGAGAACAGGTGGGCTGGTGTCAGAGGTGGCAGCTCCGTTTATAGTGACTCTGAAGATTCCCAACAGAGGGAGGCTAATGGTCGACGACCGCAGAGCCGTGTCTATCAAGGTTTGCTCCCTCGGCTAACAGCTCTAAAGGCCAAACAAGTGTCACCTTTCATGCACTCCCCCATCACTTTTTATAGCTTTTGCTGAGTTTTGCAACTCAATTTGGAATTTCAGGGGCATAATGGCACAAACAACACAGCTGTGCATCTCCCACCACTGAGTATACCTCCACTGAGCTCAGGTGGACACAAATTGCGTGCATCTAACTCTAAAACTCTTATCTTAGCTCCAACATCCTCTCGTTTGTCTAGAACACACCATATAAGGTGGGGGACCATGCATTTGAGTTCATAATTCGGCCGTACAAGGACACAAAGGTCACTTTTGAGTCTCGCAAGTTCCTCAAGTCATTTCTGACCGTGGACCAGAATGCTCACCTCTCGGCGCAAGAGATGCCACCAGACTTCAGCGACGTCCAGTTTATAGTACGAGTACAGGTGAGATTTCACATACCTTTGCAAAGTATACACTGAAAACCGTGGTGTTTAATAACACTACATTGCTACGTGTTTCTCCATTGGTTCTCACTTACAGAGGTTTGTTGGACCCTACACCACACAAATAAAGTGTCCTCATGGGAGACCTTCCATTGTCGTAAGTTCTACACAATTAACCCAGATCACAGTTTCACGTACACACATACACACCCATATGCCTGCACGCACACACACGGCTTCTTTCTCTGACTGCTGCAGAACCAGCTGAAGGACAGGAGTGTTGTTCAGTTGTACTCCAAGGCTACTGGTATCTACCTCGGTCTGAGGGTCAATGGAGATGTAGTGGGAATGACAAATGCTGACAATGACAAGAGTAAGTCACACTTGCAGTGTTGCTTTTGGCTTCAGCGTGGAAACACGATCACTTTTTGTCACTTTAGAAAATCCATAACAATAATAACGCGACGCACGTTTTTGTTTTTCTGGTATATAGCTATATACTTTTGCTCGTTGTTGACACATGCAGCTTTCATGGTGTACTGTGATCGAGGTCTGGGCAGAGTCTCGCTGCAGAGCTATGCTCCTCCCCTCCTCAAACTCAAGATGAGGTTTAACGGAAACCTCATCTGCCAGGCAAGTACTAGACGGCAGTTAACCCCTCGTGCACCGTTCTTACTCCTTTCTGTATAGTATGTAAGTGAGTTGTCATTTTACATGTGCATGCAGCGAGGACTATGGTATATAGCTACTTGGTTGGTGTGTATCTGTCTGTCTGTATATTATACCTCAGAGTAAGGCAACTCTAGCTATGCAAAACTGATATATAATTATGTTGAGTCGTAGTCACAAAACCAAAAATTAACGGGGGTTACTCACTGTATCACCCACCACCACATTATATAGGGAGAAGAGAATTTGGACAATGATTTCTATCTGAAGGAGTCACCAGATGGCACGTTCTGTTTGAGAGTGTCCCCAACAAGGGGCGGTACGTTCAGGTCACCGTGAAAAACAAGAAGAGCGTCACCATCATCAGAAACTTCTCCATCGTTCTACTGGTGGGTCATTGCACGCTCTCTGGGCATTGTCAGTCATAAAGGGAATGTGTCAGTACAAAAGGGCTAAATTTAGAAAGATAAAACAACAATACAAGAATTCAATTAAGTTTCTGTTTTAGTAATAATATAGCAATTATATACTGCCACTATGTCCGGTGATTTAGGTATTTGGGAAGGAGAGGGGGAGGAATGCTACAGTCACAAAGTAAGCTTCTCAGTGTTACCATCACATAAATACTGCTCCATGATCTATTTTTTCTGCAGGTATGTATTGAATTGATTATGTAACGGTACACAACTGCATGCATTAGAATATTGGACTTGAACAAAGTGTTTAGTACATCTCATACAACTAGAGTTGTGGAATTTATAAGAACTAACCACAGAATAATTTGTTATGTTTTTAGAAGTAAATCAAACCGTTTCTATCTACTTTCTTTTCAAGTGTTCCACTTCAAGTTTTAGTTGGAGGTTCTCATGAGCCAACTCCTTCCTGAGTAGCTCTTCGCCTTTGAGCTCGTATCTGAGACCCCTCATCTCTTGCTCCATGTTGGACACTGTCTCTTGGAGCTCGTCACATTTCTTGTTGGCCTCCTCCAGCTCTCTGTTCGTCTCGGAGAGACTGGACCGGGCTCTTTCCAGATTATTTCTACCCTTCTCCAGCTGGGATTTCAGCTCTGCTGCTGCCTTACCGTCATCTGCAGACTTTGCCTCCACCTACAATTATAGAGCCAATGAACGTGGGATAATGTAAGTGAAGCTGGGGTAAAAATGTTCTTTTAGGTTATGAGACAATTAAGGTTGGACCCGTAAGTGAGCACACTATTATATTATACTGAGCTTTTGTGGTCTATAAGTCTACAACATTCAAGTAAGAGCATTAGTCTATCCTGGAAAATGGTGTGTACAAAGAACTAGAGCATGGACGAACGAAACAAATCCACGAGGTTATGCATACTCACTGCCCACCTTCCTCTGTTCCGCTTGACTCTGTTTACTCTCCTGCTCAGTTATGGTAGTGCAGTACTGCAGACCTAAAGGGCCAGTTGAACACATGTTTTTGCTGGGAACTGATAAAATGTCTTTCACTGTGTACATAGTCCTCTGACAGACTAAGAATACTGGTGGTTAGTGTGCAATGAAGGAATGCATTCTAGAAGCTAGTAAAAACCTAGTTTCATGCTAGGCCTTGCAAGTGTACATAAGTAAGTAATTAGCACTCAAACTTTTATCATTCCTGAGTATGTCTGCTACTCTTTTCTGCCCAATTGAACCCAGCGCCTTGACCAGAGCTCCCCAGGTGGGTGAACTGGTGTTCCTGAGCCACTGCCTCAGAACGTTTGCCCTTTTTCTGTTCTCGTCGCATCTGTTGGCAGGTTTGCAGTCGATGATTGCAATTGTAGATTCGCACACGCCGAGCTCTCGACCGAGCTTGTCAGCTTGGATCCCCTCCACAAAGTTTGCTATGTAGGCAATCGCTTTTTTGCTCACCATCTCCTTGTCTTCTTCCTCGTCATCCTCAGTAGGCAGCATCTCTCTCTGTCGGGCCATTCTCTGTAATAAACCCCGAATTTGGTCCCTCTGTTCGTCATCGTGGCTCTCCAATTCTCTCCTCATTCCCACGTGTGCACATGCAAGGTTGTGAGTGTGGTGTACCAGGTCCACCTTGGTTTTCTCTTGGAATGGATCTGGGATCAACACTGCTGCCTGCCACAAGAGAGAATGAGTTTCCACCAGCTTGGCAGCAGTTGGTCGTGAGGCTGGCTGTTGATCAAGGCAACTGGTGATCAGTTGAGCCAGGGGATGCTCCTTCCCAAGTTCACGGAAGATTTTCTCCACGCTCGGGGAGCGACGCTCAATTTTGCTGAGACATATGAGCTGTTTCGATTCATTTGTGTATGTTTGCGGGAGGACATTGTTGGGAGGGAGGCGAGTGAGGGTGAACAGGGAAAGGATGCCAAAGGAGAAGATATCGAAAGCCGCTGTGCAAGGAAAGTGTGCCCCTGTGACTTCTTGTGGGATGTATGGCGATGCCTGAAGAGGCTGATATGGCATCACACACTGTCCAGCGTCAGTCAGTACAACTGCATGCACGTGCCCAATGTTGTCAGATGACATGCAATCAACGAGACACAATGGCTATATTTACTCTCTTTTTTAGCTAGTCTCGGTCCCAGACGCCATGTTAAATAATAGGGTTGCCTAAACTTCATGTTCTTCAAAAAAAGAAATGTAAGGTGAAGGAAAGGTAAACTCAATACCTAAAGTGTGTTGTGCAAACGTTAGTGAAAAATGGCATAAACTTTTCGTACTTTAACCAAGAATGAAGGATGAAGGACAGGAAAATGCAATATCCTAAACACCTTTACCATATCTGAAGGGTGCAGTAGAATAATACAGAAGGTGACCTAAATTTGAGGTGATGGACAGGCATAATACAATAGCTGAAGGGTGCAGTGCAATTATTATTTTTGAGTGGCCTAAATTATTTGTACTTACCGAAACAACCTGGGATTAAATATTAACATTTTGCTATAGCTGAAGAGTGGTGGTTATGGAATAGAGTGGCCTACATTAATAGTGTGGCCTAAATGTTTTCGTACTTTTCAAAAGAGCCTATATAGGATGAATGTCAGGTAAATGCAATATCCTGAATATATTCGCGCTAGCTGAAGGGGTGCAGTGCAAATAGCAGCTGCATGTGTGGAAAATGTGGCCTAAAGGCATCCTCACGCTGCTAGATATACAAGTGGAAAAATCATTTCTTCAAAATGAAGGGGGATATGGGGATGTCTTGAAGCACCAAAAAGGAAGAAACAAGGGGTCAGCACAAAGCTATACATGACACCACCCCTATATCTTTGAACTTTGCAATAAAACAAAGATATAGGGATGGTGTCATGTAGCTTTGTGCACCTTTGCTGTGTAATGACCCCTTGTTTCTTCCTCTTTGGTGCTTCAAGTCATCCCTATATCCCCTGTTTATTTTGAAGAAATGATTTTTCCACTTGTTTCACTATTTTTAACAGCTTATGACAACACTGCATGACTCAACGAATTTGGTAGCGAGGTAGAAAGGCAAGGCAAAGCAAACAAGTCAACTACACCCAGGACAGCTCTTTTTTTCCAAGGAAAAATAAAGAGTTGCCCTAGGTGGGATTCAAACCCACGACACTCTGCAGTCTAGGCGAGGGCTCTACCAACTGAGCTACCAGGGCAACTCAGTCTGTAGGGGTTCTACAACACAACACAACACAAAGGAACACCTCAAACCACTGTGCTATGGCACAGTACACTCTCACTCAGTAGCAGACCGGACCTTTTCGTTTATGCCGCCACTGGTATGCAAGCGCGTCGCCGTGACGTCGTAATTAATTGCCGATTTACATCCGCAGTACATTCCTTCACGTTGCACAGGGGCGTATGTAATAATGTTTAATGACAATTAGACAGAGTTAATGTATGACATATGAGCAGGTGCAGGCAAAGGCTTACCTACAGTGGCCGATAGGTGCCATGCCGATATTCATTCCGTTTTCCATTCCATTTTCCAATTTCCAGCGATGCGTTCCAAATGCTGTTCTTGATTTCCGGTTATCCAACCTGCGAGCTGGCAGCTAGGGGTAAGAGAGTGGCTAGCGTCTCGAAATCTGGCTGCATACCAAGGCAGGCGGGGGTCTATATATACCCTCACCCTAACCCCTGTGCGCTCGAGCGGGCTTTACCAATCATGACAACAGCAGCGCCGCGCCGCGGTCGCGGGCTCGGTTAGCAGTGAGTGTGACGGCCGTGTAAGATCGTAGCCTCGTAGGCCGTTTTGCGGGGTATGGGAAGGAGGCTAGGATCTCCCTGGCGGTCCCAGTTCGCTCCCAGCGTGTAGTAGCTATTGTATTGGCGAGCACACTTCACTCGTCCTCCCTTCGCTAGCGCATGGGGAACAGGCATAAACACGGAATGTGGAACGTAAAAACGGAATTTGGAATGGAAAACAGAAGTGTGAATGGAAATCGGCATGGCACCTATCGGCCACCGTACTTACCAGTGCAGTATGGAAGCAGGAGTACTGGGCAGGCAACTGACATGCGCAGAGCAGAGCAAGGTCACGCCCCTTACCAGGATGCCAGGCCGGAGCATGCGCAGCGGCAGATATGTAATGCTTGCAACTGCGCTGCGCAAACCGGCAGGTTTAGCGCTAGAGCAAGGCAGGAAGTACGTACGTACGTGTACCCACCCTGCTATCAAAGGGCATGACGCGCTGCTATGGCTGCTGGCTCAGATACTGAAAGGCGGTTTCTCCACCGTAACCTGCAGCCACTGGTACTTCACGGCGTGACTCACACTGGCAAAACGATGGGCAGAGGATCCTACGGCGATGTCGTGGAAGTGGCGATTCCGGGGGCCCTCTGCGCGGCCAAGAAAATCCACGATTGGCTGACGAAACAGGACCCAGATTGGTTAGCCAAGGAGGTGGCCGACAGTAACGTGCAAAAGTTCTTGTCTGAATGTACAATGATGAGCCGACTCCGCCACCCGCACATCGTTCAGTTTCTCGGTCTTTGGTTCGATGCCGACTCAAGCCTTTATTTAGTGATGGAAAAGATGATGACCAGCCTGCACAATATACTAGAGCCTGATGACCACAAATCAACCACTACTGCACCACTTACCATTCCCCTGCGTGTAAAGGTCTCAATTCTGCAGGACATAGCCAGAGGCCTTGCCTTCCTCCACAAGCAGAGTCCTGCCCGTCATCCACCGCGACCTCTCCGCAAGAAATATCCTCCTCAACTCAGCAATGACGGCCAAGATTGCCGACCTCGGCATGGCCAGAATTATGCCTCCAAAAATAAAAGCCACTATGACAAAAGCACCTGGCGCGTACATCTACATGCCTCCTGAAGCACTAGAAGACGTGTCAAAATACAACGCTTCAATCGACATATTCTCTCTGGGGGTCCTGATCATTTTCGTTCTGGCAGAAACGTTTCCAGACAATCCTAAGGCCCCAACTTACACAGATGAGGTGAAGGGACTACTGGCTCGAACAGAACTCCAGCGTCGCGAAAACTACACCAAGAAGCTGTACAGAGAGTTTACCAAAACCCACCCACTAATCCAGCTAATGGAGTCCTGCCTGGAGAACATGCCAAAGAGACGACCAACAAATGATGGAGTACAGCAGATTCTAGGCCAGGCAGCAGCTCTCGTCCAGGGAGAGGCTCAGTTAAACAAGCTGCAGCTGCTACAAATGCTTGATGGAAAGGCTGAGGTGTGTACACAAGCAGCTCAAGCATGGCAAAGGCATACAATACTGGGTCCGGATATGCCCCACTAAACATTGTGTAGCCCCCAAAGATTCCCATAAATACTATATACTAACTTCTAACTGATAAATATATGCTTGTTTCTGTTTTCTGCAGAGTGAGGAGCGTCTGGCAGACAGACTGGACGAGGCTAGATCTGAACTAGACGTCATGTCTGCCGAGGTCACGTCTCTCACAGCCCAGCTAAAGGAGAGAGAAGAAGAGGTGAAAGGGAAGGAGGCTCAGCTGAAAGAGATGAAGAACATGAACGCTGCTCTCGAGAATCAGCTCACGGAGTACATGGACGCTCTGGAGCTCCAGAACCAGGTGAACACAGGTTTTCCCAGCACAAGAATAAGAGTAGCAAGCCAGATATTGTGGGTATACGTATAATTATACATTTATGTGAGAATGCTGTTGTATATCTTGCTCTTGGGTTGTTTGCTGGCAGAAGGATAGTTGTAAGCTAGGGTGTCTGGGAAATGAAAAAGACACTATTATAACATATGTATAATATATAAAATATGTAATTATAGGGGTAGTTTACTTGTTTGCTTACCTTTGCCTTTTGCTACCTTACCTCGATGTTGACACATTGTACATGACTGCTGTCACTGCTCTGTGTGCATGAGTTTATGGCTTTAGTTATATATGGGTCTGTCCATCTTGAGTATTTGTGGAATGGTGGTGTTCCTCTGGTGCAGAGTGTAAAGCGTTCGGTTGAGTCTCTTCTGAGGACCAGTGCTGAGGTGGCAGAATACGAACAACAGATGGCCCAGATGACAGAGTATATGCGCAAACTGCAGCTAGAGTACCAGGTACTATACTTTTATCTGATACCTACATGTACTGGGAATCCAAGCCTGCAAAACCTGATACCCAAGAGAGTATGTCAATACTGTATCTTATCTATCGAGAGAGAGAGAGAGAGAGAGAGAGAGAGACCTCCCTGTCCCTTGTAGAGGGGTTGTCCCTATCCTGGAGGTCAAATCATAGTTAAGTTTGCATTAGCATGGGGTTGAAACAATTGTTGTTTGTAGAGAGGTCGTCCCTTTGTGGGAAGGTCCCTTATCAGAGGTCCCATTGTACTACATCTGCTCCAATAGGAAGGAGGTGATCTTGTAACACTGCTGGAAGGGATGGTGAAACTGAGGGTAGACGTCAAAACAAAATATGCTATCCTTGTCGAGAGCGAGGATCGACTGGAAGAGATCATCTCTCAAAAGGATGCGTTTGAAAAGCAGTACAACGATGCTATCCAAGAATTGGAGGAAAAGAAGCAGTTGCTGGAAGAAGAGAAGCAAAAGGCCCAGAAAACACTGCGAGAGAAAGAAGCAGAGCTGAGAAAGTTGAGGGCAGAGCGAGCCACCAAGGAAGAGATTGAGACCAAAGAAATCGAGATCATGTATCTCAAGAAGAAAGTTCAGCAGCACCAGATCACGGAGAAGGAGCTCATGACAAAGATTGTCGACCTCCAGCAGAAACTGGAGGTGACTGACATTGGCTGGATTGCCAGCAACCTGGAGAAACAACTCGAGGGAGTACGGAGGGAGCGATCACATATGATGAACAATATCTACAAAATGTTAGAGTACATCAAAATCCCTGACGATTTACCGGTATGTTTTAATTTAATAAACCCTCGACGCGCATGCGCAACGAGTGTTACGGTACTTGGTTTGTAAGTGTGTCTGTCCTTCCGTCTGTCTGTCTGTCTGTTACCACGTTTTCTGCGACTACGCGCAACGAGACAACAAAACAGCGATACCAACGGGTTCATCGCTACACTGGCTTCATTTATTTTCGTATAACTGCTGCTTTCAAAAGTTATGGCGTGAAAAGCAAGTCAACAAGCCAATATGCAAATTAGTACAGGCTTACCTCGACCGCGTCTGTTCTCTCTGTGTGTCTTGAAGGCACAAGTCACAACGAAGGGCATGTATCGACTCCTGCATGCTATCTACTACTGTAGCTAGCCCGTGCCAGACTCTCCGCGAGCTACTAGCGGGATACCACGAGTAAAGGCATAAAAAGCCCAGCCCATCAATTAGTGGTATCGCACATGCGCAGTTCGCCGAGGGTTTGCACTTTAGTGCTTTATAATAAGTACTAGCTACCATATTTAAGTCGGGCATTTTGTGCCACAGGGCCTTGCCAAAACCTGTACTGTAGTTTGTTTGTGACAGCAGGTAGTCGAGTTAATATATAGCTTCTTAGGTTCAGTGAAACAGCTGGTTTAACACCTTCTGGATCAGCTCCTACTATCTATGTATAGGCACACATAGCTATATACTTACCATGTTTAATGAGGTGTACTTCCCTATTAGTCTGCATGTGTGGGTTAGAATTCCACACTTCCACACATGGTAGTAAAAAGTTGTCTGTTGGTAGGCTAGTTGGTGTCCTAAGTGGAATTGTGTCTGTGTGACTCATGTATATATGTAACATCAAAGAGCATACATGATGGTCACAAAGTGTATGCCTCTGTTAATAAATTCTGATATGATAGCTGGTATAGGTAGGCATTATGAATGTCTTATTTGCCAAATGAATACATGTCTCTGTTCTTATATACCTTGTTGATTGTGGCCTGTTCTTATATACCTTGTTGATTGTGAATAACAACCCACTGAAAAGAAACCCTGGCGCAAAGTGCTGTTGTGGTTTTCTCTATTTTATAGTTGCGCTGCTCAGAACGTAGAACAAGGTGGTTGAGTGTTGGTTCAATGAGCAAACCAGTTTTTAGATGTCTACTCTGTTGGCGCGAAGTAAATGCACACCAAATGTTTCCACTGTAGATGCTCCCACTTGGAATGTCATCCAAGAACCCTGCAGGACATTTGGTTGGAAACACCAGCATGGGGCCAGTGGGTAAGTAATGTTCAAGTTTAGAACAGAGTTAGGTAGCTATATAGACACAGAAGGGGATAAAACAGTGGCCTTTGTGTGATGCTGAGTGTGAAAGTAATGTGTATAGTGAAAATAACAATTGTATAGTGATTTCATGGCTCAACTGCGGCAGCTTCTTGGGGAAGAATTTCAGCATTTCAAGTCTCTAGAATGATAGTCTGAGGTTTTGTGTTAGGTACTGAGTTGTGGGAGGTAATTAACCCTCAGCACCCATGCGCAGCGAGGGTTACAGTAGTCGTTCTGTCTGTGTGTGTGTCTGTCGACACTTATTCTCGCATTACAGGCTACGAGGCGGCCTATCAGCTGCGATACCAATGTCTTCAGAACTACGCGAGCCTGATAAAGTATTAGGCGTTTTTCCTGAAACGACTGCATTCGAGAGATATGCCGTGAAAACAAGCGAAAAAGCCAATTGCATAACCAACCGCACTGGGCTTACAGCGACCTGATCCGCTCGCTCTGTGTACCTTGGGGTCTCAGGAAGTCACAACGAATAGCATGTATTGACTCCCGCATGCTATCTGCTACTGTAATGAAAAGCACTAAAGTGCAAACCCTCGGCGAACTACGCACTAATTGATGGGCAGGGCTTTGTATGCCTTTACTCACAGAGAGTCTGATGCAGGCTAGGTATAGTAGTAGATAGCATGCGGGAGTCGATACATGCCCTTCGTTGTGACTTCTTGTGCCTGCAAGATACACAAAGCGAGCGGACGCGGTCGAGGTAAGCCTGTGCTAATTTGCATATTGGCTTGTTCACTTGCTTTTCACGTCATAACTTTGAACGCAGCAGTTATACAAAAATCTCCTTTTAAAAATGAAGCCAGTGTAGCGACGAACCCGATGGTATCGCTATTTTGTTATCTCGCTGCGCGTAGTCGCAGAAAACGTGGTAGCAGACAGGCAGACAGACGGACGGACGGACACACTTACAAACCAAGTATATACCGTCACCCTCGCTGCGCATGCGCGCCGAGGGTACACATTCCGCGACCACGTGCATCTACTTCGGCCTTCACACCTTGTCAGCGAGCTAATGGCGGAACTTCCATGTGACGTTATAGAGAATGACGAGGTTCACCTGAAGAGCACATTGCTGCACACCGGACGGTACGCCAAGCAATCAATTCCACTAGGCTTGAAAGTATCGATCCTACAAAACGTGGCTTGTGGCCTGGCCTACCTGCACATCCAGTCACCGCCAATCCTTCATGGTCACTTGTCTGCAAAGAAAGTCCTCCTTAGTTCAGGAGCAGTGGCCAAGATATCAGTGGATGTAGGGGTCACCATACCACAGCCTCTTGAGGCATCGCCATACATGCCACCAGAGGTCACAGGGGCACAGTCTCCTTGCACAACGGCTGTCGATATCTTCTCCTTTGGCGTTCTTTCCCTGTTTACCCTCACCCACCACCCTCCCAACAATGTCCTCCCGCAAACATACACAAATAAATCGAAACAGCTCATATGTTGCAGCGAAATTGAGCGTCGTTCCCAGAGCGTGGAGAAAATCTTCCGTGAACTTGGGAAGGAGCATCCTCTGGTTCAACTGATCACCAGTTGCCTCGATCAACAGCCAGCCTCACGACCAACTGCTGCCAAGCTGGTGGAAACTCATTCTCTCTTGTGGCAGGCAGCAGTGTTGATCCCAGATCCATTCCGAGAAAAAACCAAGGTGGACCTTGTACACCACACCCACAACCTTGCATGTGCACATGTGAGAATGAGGAGAGAATTGGCATTATTTATAAGTCAGAAACATGTCTGGAGAAGTTCTTCTGTGCTCTAGGAAGTTGAATAAGCCTGTCAGAACTCGGCAAGCACCCGACATTGGGGGCTACCAGAGCGTTTGTAACCCCCATACTATGGCATGAATACCATTACAAAGAGCCTCTGGTACCCCCTGCCCAGCGCTTTGTTACGCTTCTGGCTCAAGAGGAAATAGAAAGGAACACTGAAAAACACCTGTAGTGATTTTAAAATAGTCATTGACATTGATAGCTACAGAAAGCATGACGTGAGCCCATGTCGGCCTTCATAAAGTGAAACATTGGGTATAACAGAACAATTTGCAGTATAAAATCTGTGACTCTGAGTTCAGAAGACGCTGAACGTGAAGTTCAGCAGCAAACCTACACTCCTTGAACTCAGCATGGATGTGTGTCGACGAAGGAATGAAGTACCACATACTTTGCAATGTCGATGGTGTTGACAAAGGAATAAAAATACCACCATACACTGTTCAATACTAGACAGAGACATAGAGCGCACACATTATAAACAAACATACTATAACATTACTACACAAAGCTGAAGCTGAAGCCTAAGAGTTAGTTTGAAAGTTAGCTGCAAAAAGGAATCTGGAGAATACAGGTTGTGGAAGATAGAGATGAGTGAGTTAACTGTATATACACAACCTACTTGAAGAATGCTCATGGCACCACAGGACAGGCGGTGGAAGGGAGGACAGGGGGATAAAGCGGTAGCATCCCACTGTTTCTTGTATAGGCCGTCAGTATGCACGTACACATCATTATAATATGGGTTACGGGTCTATATATCTATGATTAGAGTGAGCTAGGTTCGAATTGACTAATCAGATTGCAAAGGCGAGATTTACTAAATCCTGTAGTAAACCTCGACGGGGTTTACTACATGTAGTAAGCCTACAGAAACTACAAAACCTACATATATAATGACCGCAGGAAGAGAACTGCGCGGTATGGTGACCCCTACATCCACTGATATCTTGGCCACTGCTCCTGATACTCGGGAACGGGAGAGGCGGCTGTCTCTTGGGGTGCTGACCAAGTTCTCCCTCCCGCCCGCCACTAGGTTCTTGCCTAATGTGACAGGTAGCGTGGGAGATAGTGGGTTGCTTGGGTGCCAAGGGGAGAATCAATAATTATTAGGCCACGTGGCTCCCAGAGTTGGCCCCCAAGCCCGTCAGGGGCCCTTTGTGATAAGCTCTGACGGTAAGGGGGGAGGGCTTCTGGAGGCCTGCTAGGGCGGTGACGAGCCCCCGAGGGGCCCCTCACTGGGGAGTCTGCAACGCGAGGTTCAAATATCTCGTCCACTCCCTGGAGGTTCACCGCCTGAACGCCAAGAAAAAAACCTACGAGAAACAGGCCAAGAAGGCTGGGATTTACGTTGAGAGTAAATTCGTTCGCCTATGCCGTATTATGCCTTCTATCTGCGTGCAAAAGAATCACTAGGATATCCATTTGCCGACCAAAAGTGCAAACTCTCGGCGAACTGCGCATGCGCGATACTGCTAATTGATTGGCTGGGCTAATTTTTTGACCGTTACGCGGTATAAGTCGGCAAATATTTTTTTTTGTAGGTTTCACCGGATTCAGGGTTATCTACCCTTTTGCCGTGCTCGTTCAAAATTCCGTGTGGATAGCCCGTTCCATTCTGGAGGTATAGCTGCTTTTGTACCCGGGAGTCAGACCTTCGAGATCCGACAAATTTTTCTACGTGGAGAAATTTTTCCGCATACGCGCTCCGTTACACGTCGGGCGTTCACACGCCCCCTAAAGCCGCTAGCATGGTTGTGGAACGAGGCTATATTTCGTGCAAACGAAGAAGACAGGCTCAACGAAGGTAGCAGGTAAGCTTTTGGCATCGTTGGTAACCCTAGCTCCTCGTTAGGCAGTTTCTTTTTTTGACGGCCCGTAAATTTCTCCGCGTTATTCCCGCGTATTGCTCCCGTTCACGCGCGCGTGGAGATCGACATAGCCAACTTCGAGGCGCCGCCACGGCCCTGGCGAGTGAGTTTCGACGCTCAAAAGTCTATAGCTGTCTTCTAGATAGATGTAGGTCCTTCTCCGTTAAAAAAGTCTGAATCGCGCGGTACCCGCTGTTTCGACTTCTAAGGTTGTTTACTAAAAATCAATTTTGCCGACTTATACCGCTTTTTCGCGTATGCGCTTACACGCGCTATGTAGTAGCTAGCTAGCTCACGGTGGAGAGTCTGACACTGGTTAGCTACAGTAGTAGATTGCATGCGGGAGTCGATACACGCCCTTCGCTGTGGCTTCTTGTGCCTCCAAAGACACACACAGCAAGCGGATCAGGTCGAGGTGAGCCGGCCAGCATATATATCGCATGCATGCAATTGATGCCACGCTACGTGGTCTGGTACTGTGCCAGTTTCTCGCGCTCAAACGCTGTAGTTTCAGGAAAATCGCCAATTTCAATTTTTTCGTGCGCTTGTAGCACTGAAGCGTTTGGTATCGCGCCTAGTTGCCTGTAGTGCGAGAATAGTCGTGGTCACGCAGACACGCAGACAGTGCAGTACAGACCTCGGTACAGACACACAAGTATATACAACTACTGTAACCCTCGCTGCGCATGCGCACCGAGGGTCACTAAAGTGCAAACCCTCGGTGAACTGCGCATGCGCGATACTGCTAAATGATGAGCTGGGCTA